AAGCAGCTATGGATTCTGGAGGTAACCGCTTTTCTAGGAGTGGAGATTTGCGCACTCTTGGATAAATAAAGGGGGCACATAAGAATTTGCATTATTGAAACAAACCTCTAGTGTGGAAAGTGTGCCTCGCTCCGCCGACGACAATCATCCGACTTGCTTTTTACCTTTTAAGGAAAAAATTTTTGATGTTTTATTTGGTACTGTCAACAGTCCTGCTTCATCAAAATTGAATATGCGGCTTGGTGAGAAATTATACTTCTCCAACATTTGTCCCAGAAGTGTAAAAAACTTTGCAACGTTCTCTTTGTTGAAAGCTGTCGCTCTTGCTTGCGAAGTAGGTTCGGGAAGTCTCAAGGAAATATTGTTTCGTGTTTTCAAAAATTCAATCTTGCCCAGCTAAGCCTTTTTCCTGGTTAAAACTATGAGAAATATTGTCTCTCTCCGCAAACTGGAATACCAGCCTCCTTAAGTAGGTGTTTCCAAGACCAAAAAGATGACTCTCCATGTCTAAGATATGATTTGCTAATTCAGTTTCTCATTCCGGACTTAAAGTTGTGGTGAATTGTCCTAACTTTTTTTCAGCTGCATCCCTAGACTCCATGTCCGTTTCCGTTAAGCAGCGCTTCAAAGTTGTTCTGGGCACCTGGTAGGTCAGAGCTGCTCTTTTGATAGGCATTAAGTTGTTTCTCACATCTTCTATAGTTCTTACCATAGCATCTTCGCTCCATGATTGTTGATTTTTTTTCGCTTATAGTTCCATACCATTTTGAACCTAAAACAACAAAATACATAAATATATACATAATATTATATTTGAAGTGCTAGTTATCATCATGAAACTACCTAGATTCTAATCCATAATATTGAAAGCTGATAACTTTTTGAAAGACTAATTTTAAAATAACCATACGGGCAAAGCGGACTCTGTCCACTTCAGCCCACAGGGAAAGGACCACTTTGCCCCGAATGGTAATTTTATGAAAAAACACCAAACAAAAAAAAAATAAGTAAAGCACTAATTTGATACTGATTACTTTCAACAACGAATTGAGCTCGCCTATTTTACGCGTGATGGGATAAATCCGCTTTGCCGACGAGTGTCCGTTTTGCCCCACATTCCCCTACCCCAGAGAACATAAAACTACATGAAAAGTACTTGAATTGTACTGTATTTTCACATTTGCGTGTCTGAGAAGTACTTGTGAAAACCACTCAGCCGCTTCTGGGATGTCCAGCCGGCCAGTAAAAAAAAGGCGCAATCGTAAAAGGACTGCAGTTGCGCACTTCCAACATGGAGTGCTGCTCTAAGTGCTTCAAATGTGCGTTGGAAGTATTTGTGAAATGCTTCATAAAAGCACTTTTCCGACAGAGAAAAAGCACCACTAGAATATCTTTTTTTGGTAAATTTATATTGTACTCCTAAAGTACTTCATTGTAGTATTTTTTGAGTACATTTTTTATTTCACTGATAGCCATTGCAAATAAAAAACCAGCATTTTGGAATTATGATTTTTTAATAAATAAACATAGGAAACATAAATACAAAAATAAAATAAAATATATTAATTTCTTCTAAATAATTCTTCTTCCCTTTCTCTGGAAAAAAAATTATACCTAAATTAAAATCTCTTACACAGAGGGCACCAAATAAAATGAGTTTTATGGGGTTTTTGGAAACTGTAAAAATACAGGTGGTGGCTCAAATGAGAAAATAAGTTGCGTGATAAAAGACCTATTGATTCATTGATTCGTACATATCGGAGTCATTATGGGGATGACCACATATAAAAAAGTTCTGCGCAGTTGTTTGGTTGTTGAAATTCGAAATGACATAATTCAAATTTGGCAGCCTCGTCAGGTACCTATAGGGGAAAAGGTTGCTCTAATAAAGTGAACTTATTTTGCAATATTTTGTCGAAAAGGCCCTAAAAAAAATTGAATCGATTTTGCAGAATTTGGTTAATTAAACAGTGAAAACACAACACACCCGTCACCCACCACGCATGCGATTAGCACCTACAACCACCACATACAGCACAGAACAACATTGCTTGGATTGACCCATAACTTATATTTGATAATTACTCACCCTTTGGAACTCATTATTCTTCCAGTGAAACCGAAAACACGCACAAGAACCCCCAAACACGAAACTAAATGCCTAAAAATCTAAACAATAAAAATGGCGCAATGGCGGCAGCCAGCAGCTTCGGCTCTGGCTTCCTTGCTTCAGCTTGCCTTCTTGCCGTTTCCTTTTCGCTTTCCTTTCCACATTTGATATCTGTGGTGGGGGATGCACCTCTGTAGTGCACCACCTGCACGATCGGAGTATCTCTAAATCTGTAATTAAGCACTCAGAGCAGACTCTACTCTCTCTGTTACCTTGGTAAGTGTTCAGGAAGTGCTGTTAGCGTACCGCTAATTCGCACACTAAAATAATGCGGTTTTGCAGTGGTTTTCCTGCACTTTACAGATCATTCAATTTGAAAGTTGAAATAGGAGCATTTCTTTGATGCTGCTAGCTTACTTTGATTTGATTTATTTTATTATATGCACTTTTAACATACTTCTGAAGCATTACCATTGAAATGCTATTTTCTCTGAAGTCGGCCGGAACTTTTCGAGCACATTGACACACATTGTGTTATCTGGGGTGTTTGTGGACGAATGGTCTATTTCTCCACAAAACGATGTCAATAAAGCAAACAACTACAAAAAAGGGTTAAATATTGAGCAACTTAAAGATGAAGACACCAAAACAAACATCCAGCTCATATTGAATAAACAATTATCCACTTAATTAATATCTCATCGATATTGGACAAAACTGGTCAATGAGAACAGTTATGCTGTCGGCCTACCAAGAACGAGCGGGCTGTAGGACAAGAAAGGATCAGGATTGGTTCGATGAGAACAATAAAGAAATTCAAAATGTCATAGATCAGAAGAGGGAGGCCTGCAATATCCGGGAGAACCGGAGAACCACGCAAGTTCCGGTCACAATAATCCCATTTTCAAGCTAAGGTTGAAATACAAAGAAGAAGAAGAATCCTGAAAAATGAATAGTGAATAACGAATTCAATCGATGTGGAATATTATAGTCCGTTGCATGGTTCTTGAGCTACGACTACTGAATAGACAGAGGGAACAATGGGCTATTGCTGCGTTGTCATATCAATAATATTTATTATTACATGAAAATGAAGGAAATTTTATTGCAATTTTCATGTATTTATAAATATTATCGATATGACAACGCAGCAATAGCCCATTGTCCCCTCTGTCTATTCAGTAGCCGTAGCTCAAGAACCATGCAACGGACTATAAAAAGCTTCTAAAAACACCAGAACGGTCTTCAGAGTCACAAAGGCAACCCATGGCATCTCTACAAAAGGTGCAAATCCCCTAAAATCTAAAGATGGGACTCAGCTTCTCGGAGACCCAGCTTCTTCAAGCTGCCGATGGAAGGATCGTTTTGAGAAACTCAGTGCCTCAAAAGCTAACCCAGAACTACCTGTATGACGTTACTTCTCTTCAGAGGTTGAATAAGCTGTCACGCATTTGAGGACAGAAAGCTGCTGGGTTAGACGGAGTCTCTGCAGAGCTCTTAACGCCTTGCACCCATAGGTTTATTGCCAAAATATAGAACTGAAATTATTTCCACTTCACATAGCTGCGTACCACCTCATTTACTCAAGACAAATGCAAGAAAAATCGAAAGAGCAAAACAAATCCATGTACAGGGTCTGTTAAATACAAAAGTCGTAGAATTTTTTCTCTATCATCTTTTGCACATGTCAAAAACGGAAAATGACAGGTGCCAACTGTCATAATGACAAACACTCTTATTTTTTTAATGGAACGCCCTGTATAGTTTAATATGAAATGACTTTTTCCTCCCGGTTCCGAATAGTTGATATTTGGTTCAGCTATTTTAAATCAGGTCTGTTTCCGGTTCCTTATAATATCAATAATGAGGGTTACTTAATGCAATTTTGAACTTGAATAATGCAAAAACAGCTGAACCAAATATCAACATATATGATATATTTGGAATCAGAAGGAAAAAAGACAAGCAAAAACTTTTAAGTGTGTTCGATTTAAAAAATGCAAGTGTTTGTCATTATGACAGTTGGCACCTGCCATTTGCCCATTTTGACATGTGCGGAAGATAAGAGAGATAAAACCCTACAACTTTTGTATTTAACTTTTTTTAATATTTTTTTTCTTTAAAGGAACAGACCCTGTATGTACATGACATGTATAATGTATAGACCTTGTCTTAGCGCTCGGCTCTGAATCGAATAGCTAGGATATGAAACCTAGAACACCTACAGGTAACACCTGCGGTACCTACTTGAAAATATACGACCAGCACTATAGTGTGGTGGGACTAAGTCCTACAACTTCATGTAGACCTCTTGTTCAATAAAAATTTGAAATTTCATTTTGTTTTATGTGATGTAATTTCTGAACTATTTGGTTGTTTTAAAAAATAGTGGTATGTTTACATAGTTACTCTACGCGGACTAAAAATATTTTTTTTGTTAACGTCTGCATCGGCATTATATTGTCTTCGAAGAAAACTGAAACCGTTTTTTCCCAATACGAAAGTGATTTTTCACTAGTTAAGATCTTTTGATTAAGTTGTTACTTGATGGAAATCCATTAATAATTTTGAAATGAAAAATGTTTATAATTTACACGAAATATGTGGAAATCTTAAACATTCTGTTCCATTTCAAAAATTATTTTTCTCAAAATTTCAATATTTATTTTATCTTTATTTTAGAAGATGACGAATTCCGTCAGTGTATCGATACATGCCAATTTCAAAATAATACACTCGCTTCTTTATTCATTTTTATTGTACACTGCCACGGTTAAAAAGTTACCGTCGCTTCCATGTTTCGGATATAGAAACATTTTTTGGTGAACCAACCTGTTCTGCGTTAATATTGCAAATTCAATAAATATTAAAGTCTAATTTTGCCTTTTAGGATTCTCCAACGATTCACCGTTCAACGTAGAACCAATTAAAGTAGAAACCGTTCGAGCAAAGGAAGGCACCCACATCACCATCAAGTGTGCTAGTCAGTTTCCCAATCACACTTTCTGGGAAAACAAGGTAATAATAAGTTTTTCAAAATTTTCAAATTAGTGGATGACAGTCTTCGAATAAAAAGTTGACTCGGTACACTATATTTTGAAACACATAATCACAATATTTGAGAAAAAAATAATATTTCGCCAGAAACTCCTATTCTCATTAACGAAACTCAAACAAGGACATAGGTTTTTCCTATAGATACAATTCTAGGAAAGGACCCCGCAATATTTAAATGGAAATTGGTTACCCGTGATATTTGGATGAAATTTAAATATGTTATTGGGGATGCCGTAAGCAACATTTTTTACCATGGGCACAACCCTGTATACCGTCAAACGGGGTGACTCTGGACTACGGGTTGACTTGGGACACTTGGGCGCGCGCTTCCATAAAAATTGGCAACAGGGGTGAGCAAGGTGGGAGGTCAACATAAATATTCTGGGGATTAGCATACACTTTGAGGTCTTTAATACACCTAATGCGGGCGGCACCGGGTGAGTCTTTACAGCGACAAAAAATTTGTTTTCAAAGTATAGAGAATCGGTGTTTTTTCAAACCGCTACAATTGTTGTCTGTAAATATATCAAGGTAAGTGATGACATGTATGTTTTATTTATTTTTTTGTCCGCTAATATGTTGTTAAAGATGTAATAAGGTCGTTTTTGCTCAGAAATTTTTATTTATTTTTTTGTGATAGAAAATCTGATTGAATGCACTTTTTAGGGTGACTCGGGACATGCCTCGTAAATATGTTAGGAGGCTTGGCGCAAGGCCATATCAAAATTACGACAAAAAAAGACTTGAAATGGCCGTTAGGGAAAGGTTAGCGAAACAAACAAGTTATAGAGAGTTAGAGGAACGGTATGGGGTATCCAGAAATACCATTAATCAGCATGTCATCAAACAAAATTTAAAAAAACCTGGGGGTCAATTGGCCTTAGCTGAAGCAGACGAAAAAAAAATAGTGAATTCTTTGTTGTGTGTTGCCGATTGGGGATTTCCCTTAGAACCAATGGATATACGGATTTTGGTAAAACAATACTATGACAGAATGGGTGTAAACATAAAAAGATTTACAAATAATATGCCAGGGCCGGACTGGATGAAATCATTTTTATTGCGCCACAAAAATAATTTGGCTTTAAGACTTTCCGAAAACATTAAACGAGCAAGGGCTGCAGTTGACAGGCAAGCAATAAATGTCTATTTTGATGAACTAAACTTATCTCTAGAAAACATTCCTCTTGCGAACATCGTGAACTATGATGAGACAAACTTCACGGACGATCCGGGCCGTCAGCGTGTCGTTATTCGCAGAAGCAACAAACATGCAGACCGTATTCTTGATTCCAGTAAAACATCAACATCAGTCATGTTTGCAATTAGTGGATCTGGTGTAATGTTGCCGCCATACGTGGTGTTCAAATCAGAACATCTCTATGAAAACTGGATAAGAAATGGACCACAGGGTTCTAGATATGGAAATACAAAAAGTGGATGGTTCGATTCAAATCAATTTGAACAGTGGTTTTTGACTATAGCATTAGGCTACTTCCGAAGACTTGAGGGGCCTAAGGTTGTAATAGGCGATAACCTGAGTAGCCACATCTCCCAAAATGTCATCATGGAATGTCAAAAAAATAATATCAGATTCGTTTTGCTACCTCCCAATAGCACCCACCTTACACAACCTCTGGATACAGCATTTTTTAAACCACTCAAGCAATCGTGGAGAAAAATTTTGTTAGAGTGGAAGAAAAAAAATAAAGGAGTACTCCCAAAACCTGAGTTTCCAGGCTTATTAAACAAAGCTTTGGATAATATTGGAGACAAGCTAGAAGACAACATAAAGGCTGGATTTCGTTGTTGTGGTCTTATTCCACTCGACAGGGATCAGGTCTTGAAACGTCTACCCCCAGAGCCTGTTCGAGAAGATGAGGGCCAACTAGCTTGGACCGAAACGCTCACAGACTTTTTAAAGAACCAGCGAACTCCAACAAACCCAGCAAAGAAAGGTAAAGGAAAGAAAATTCTAGTAACACCCGGTAGAAGTGTGACATGTGAAAGAAGTTCTGACTCCGATTCTGACAATAGTGAAATGGAGATGGAATTAAATAGAAGTGAATCTGATGATAATGGGAGCATACAAGACATAGAGTCTGAGGGAGAAGAAAGAAATCAAAATGAAGATGTGGAAAACCTGGAAGAAGAGCCAGAGGAAGTGACTGATTTGCACATTGAAGATTTTGCAATTGTAAAATTTACAGACGGAAAGTTTTCGAAAAATTTTGTGGGAAAAATTTTAGACAAATCTGGTGACCAAATAAGAATCACTTTTTTAAGAGAACATTCGAAAATAGAAAATGGCTTTGCTTTTCCAATAGTTCCCGATGAATCCACAGTAAACATTTCCCAGGTTTTGAAAATACTTCCAAGACCTGTGGAACTGCGAAGAGGTGCAGTTAAATTTCCATTCCAAATAAATTTGAAAAATTAGGTAGACCCATTATTGTTATCGAAAGAAATGACCTTTTTTTTTATAATTTCTTGTGTAGAAATTTTTTTATTTTGTTCAAAAATCAATAAAAATAATGTTTACTTTTTTAAAAATTTCTATTTTTGTCCCGTCTCACTCCAGAAACGCCTTACAATGGTTTCTAGTGCTAAATAAGTGCTTGTCCCTAGTCACCCCGAAAACGGGGTGAAACGGGACAATTTTCAAAATTTAAAAAAAAATATTTAAGATTTTCGAAAAAATATTATTTTTAGCATACGTGTTCCCAAAATATGTAGAAACATGTAGCCACCTTAAAATTGCCATTTACTAATTCTGGTCATGAAATATTCACAAAAAAGTGTCAAATCCGTCCTTAGTCACCCCGTTTGACGGTATGTGACAGGTGAGGCGTGGTTAGCTGTCAAATATTGGAATCTTATATCCAAAAGCAGAGTTACTATGGCAGATTTTGATGAATGAAGTATCGATGTCTACTAAGTCGACCAAGTTAAGTCGGAAAATGTCATCCATTTTGACATCTGTCAAAACCCTGCCAAACGGCAGCACTCATCTTTTCCCGTTTTCAATATTTTATGATGTCATTTGACATTTTCAACTTGTATGTACATTTTGAATTCAAAAATTGAAAAAAAAATGATAGAACTGTCAAAACCTGTCATTTGTTTTAGTAGAAAATAATACTCTAATCTGGTTCTTTTTTGTTTCAAGGTAGTTTATTGGTGATAAAACATTAAACAAAGTTCATGCATGTTACATTTTGACAACTGCCAGAACCTGTTAATAGCTTTTTGCTTCATATTGATGACGTTTCCGATTGGTAGATCTAGTGCAGAACTTTTGCAATGTTTTTTATCTCGGTCTTTTTCTTCTACAGGTTAATTAAAAGGATGCAAATACACTCAGTGCGCATTGTAACTACCAATCGGAAACGCCATAAGTTTGTTTGCTTAGTGAAGTTCTACAACGGGCATAAAATTGGTTTAGTTCTATTGTATTATTGTATTATTGTATTATTCTATCATTCTAGTTGTAGAACTTCACTAAGCAAATAAACTCAATATGAACCGACAGTTGTTGATATTTCGTCCAGATGTACAACTTTCATCTTACTCCTGGTGTTGCGCTGAACTCGATAAACCAAATCATTAATCCTCTTGATTATTCTGTAGGGTCCTTCCCATGCTGAAGACAATTTCGGCGACACCCCTTTCTTTCTTGTTGGGTTATAAAGCCACACCAAATCGCCTTCTTGAAATCCGGCTAAATTGGCTTTCAAGTCGTATCTAGTCTTCATTCGGTCACTGGCCACCTGAATATGCTCCCGAGCAAAATCATAGGTACCCAGAAGTCGTGCCCTTACTTTGTCGGCACAATCTCGGATTTCTTTTCGTTCTTCTTCAGGTATCCCAAACATCAGATCGCAAGATAACCTGAGTTCTCTTCCAAAAACGACTCTGGTTGGGCTTTCACCTGTTGACTCGTGAACAGCTGCTCTGTAAGCCATTCAAAATAGAGGCAAGTGTTTGTCCCAATCACGCTAGTTCTTTGCGACCACTTTTGTCAGGTGTTACTCTATGGTCTTATTAAATCGTTCTACCATGCCATCATACTGTGGATGTAAAGGTGTTGTTCTTGTCTTGCGAATTCCCATGATCTCACAAATTTTCTTGACGATGGCAGATTCGAAATTTCGTCCTTGATCTGAATATAACTCGAGTGGCACATCATGGCGACTAAAAACTTCGTCCACTAGCACCTGGGCAACAGTGATGGCTTTTTGATTGGGAATAGCGAAAACTTCTGGCCATTTACTGAAGTTATATTTGTTACCACGCTCTGACTCTGGGAACGGGCCGGCTACATCTATCGCTATTCTTTCAAATGGAAGACCGACGTTGTACTGTTTCATGGGCCCCCGAGATCTTAGTTTAGGGCCTTTACTGGTAGCACAGATGTCGCATTTTCGGCACCAGCTTTTAACGTCTTCATGGTAGTGAACCCAGTAAAAACTTTCCCGAATTATGTCCAAAGTCTTGTTAACTCCGAAATGTGCCCCTGAAGTTCCGTCGTGTATTTCTTTTAATACATCTTCCACTCTGTCTTTTGGGATAACCAGTTGGCTCTTAGTGGATTTCCCATCGGCACTTTCCCAAACTCTTTTTCGCAAACCATTTTCTACGGCCAGAGAGTTCCCTGGGACCACAACGCCCTGTAAATCAAGCTCTTGTGCGATACTTCCCTCCATTCTAGCCTACATTCATCATTTTCCTCAAGATGGAGAATCTGTCCGATGTCCTGGTCTGCTTTCTGATCTTCTCTCATTTGTTTCGTAGTCCACTTGTCATCAACGATCAGGCCCGTTCTTCTCAAAGCTGGACTAGAGTTTTTCTCTTGCAGGTTTCCAGGTCGATGTATAGAACTGGCGTCTCTGGACCTCCAAAAGCTTTGGGAACGATCCCTAGATGGAGAGGACATCCTTAGTCTACAATCCCATTGGATG